CTTCTTACTAAGAGGGTCAGAGTAAGAGTCGTGTCTTTATTTTGATGTAGGTTTGCTTAAAATAATGAGCTAAGTTAGTGTATTGGAAGAAGAATGTTCATCCAGTTTAAGGATCGTGTCGGTTTGAATTAAGTTATCCGGAACCTTTTATGTAAATTCTTCGTTGGCCAGTATTTGCATTCTGAACACTCAAGAATACTGTTCCAGATGTCAAATCCTCAAAGCTCCTTGTTTTTGTTGTTTATGTTACCCTATTACGCGTGTCTAATGCTAAAAATAATCTGCCTTCTTCCATTTCTTGTGCCCATTCCGACTAATTTTCATGTAAGAAAAAGGTTAGAAACATTCTGAGCACTCATTGCTCCACATGTGTCGTTTTGTTGGAAACACAGGTGAAGGCTTCAGAGCTTATCTAAACATCCTCCACCCACGCCCCGCCCCACCCCACTGTGAACGTTGAACACAGCTGCGGGTGCCGTGTGTCCATTCCATAGTTCAAACTAATACTGAAAATGGGAAACTGAGGGATGCTAATGCTCAAGTTAGGCATTGACTTGGTAGTTTAAATACTAGGAAAGCAGCAAAGATTGGTTGGTGGGTGTGGGTACATTATGTCCATGCCTTGTCATGCCAACCTCCCGGAATAATGATATCCTATGGACATCACTTAGTGGACACGACAATATGCCCACGCTTGCATCCCCCCTCATCTCCTTGAACTTATTGAGGTGTAAACTTATAATTGCACTTTTATTCTCGTTTTGTTTTGGTGGAGCAACTTTTACAAGCATTGAGTCCCATACTTTGAATTGTCGCGAAAGGAATCATTGTCATACTTGCTACTTGTGTCGGTATCATACTCGTCCGATGGGCCATAGGTCCTATGTAGTGAAGTAATACCCATCTAATTTTATTTAGAAAGAAACCGAACTCCTTAGTTGAAGATGTCGAAAAAGTGATTGAAGGGCTCTTAGATAAGGACGAACTATGGGTTGGGTTGAATAAAGAGAGCATTCATCTCCCAACATAGAAAATTGAGAGAGGTTTTATCCCTATGAAGAAGCTTTAAAAGTGGGGGAAAGTAAATCCTTTTGTTGTATTTTCCTTTTCCCCCCCTCCAAAATAATTCAACTTTCCCTTTTCTTCAAACTTTTTGTCCATTTTATCCATAATAAAGCAAATTTGAAGTATTTTTACACTCATTTTAAAAAAAAAATGTGAGCAAATCCTGGGAAGGGATCTTTGTGGGTCAGGTTGGACAATCCCTTAATGCAAGCAAGAACCAAAGTTGAGGAGAAAAGGAAGAAGGAGATGCAACGTGTAGGAAGTTCCCATCTTCATCGCTCTCTCAGCTACCCTGTAAAGAATAAAGATGATGATGATGATGATGCATTCCCTTTCAAAAGGATACCCAAATCACATTTTCAACCTCTTTTCCAACACAAAATCATACACGCACCACATCAAACCCTAAATTAAACCACATTTATAACTCAATTATTTCTTTCAATGCTACGACTTTCGATGCTACGTTGATTGCTTGAAATCAAAGCTGGTAACTTTTTGAAAAATGGAGCGTCTGTTTTTGGGTGAGGTTGTTCTTCGATTCAATGTGGCTTATGTGGAAACTAAGCTTCATTCAACAATACACGTCACATGTTTTTTTACTTGATTGTAACTCTAACCGGCTTACATCTACTCTAGGCCAACACTATCCTCGAAACCTCATTCCTAAAAGAAGACACTCAAGACATTGTCTTGCAATGCTCGTCCCAGACAAGTTTTTATATTCAATCATATGAACTTAATTCTAGAGCCATTTGTCGAAACTCTCGATAAAACTCTGACTTTTGAGGTTATGGTCTAGAACCCGACCCCTTTTAAACCCATCTTTAGTGCCCTTGACAACATTATGACTTCTAATTTTACTTATTTCTTAACTTGACAATTATGCATACTTTTCTCGATACGTTAGATGATGCTCACATCATGACACTTGTCTTTCTCAGTCTTCATATGAGCTAAAGGCACCACTCGCATGTCAACTTCTAAACGACTGCACATGAAAGCCACAACCTACTCTACGGTTGTGACACGCTTCAAATATTATCATGATTGTTACTCAAAAAATAAGAAAAGCTTCGATTTAATAAAATATTTAAGACTAAAATAATATTGAATGTGAGATGAGTGTCACCCGATACCATAAGAATATATATATAAAATCACATGTGTCAAAATCTAATATCAGTTTTAAAATGCGCGACTTTATTATTTTTATTAAATTTCATACCAAATCTCTACAGACTAATATTTATTTACAGCTTTTTTTATTAACTCGAACACAGCTTAACGAACATTAATTTTTTTTAAAAAAAATTAATATCGTAAAAATTTCATACGATATTCTAGAAAATTATGAAAATAATATTTTTAAAATTATTTAAAAAGATAGCGTTGGGAATAGAATAAAGGCATATCTTTTTATTAGGTGCATGCCCACGACCAAAGTTGCCAAAAATTGAAGCTTTTATTTCTTTATATATTTATTTTTAATTATTATAATTAAAAAAATCTCAATTTTAGAAAATTTTATCTTTTTTACTCACCAAGAATATATTTAAAGATATTTAATCTTTTGAAAAATGAGGATTTGGCATTTTAAGAATTACATATTTTCAACCTAAATACTAAAAATAGTATTTTCTGATTAATTTGAACAATAATTCGTAATTAATTATAATTAATATTAGTATTATGAAAAAAAAAATAATATAATTAATATAATCTCTAATCTATAACCTATCAATAAACAACATGTGAGTACACCATATCCAACGTGGAAAGATCTATATTGGCCTATGTGGGGATAATTATCACTTAAGTAGGTAACGTGATCAGATATGAAACGTCCCAGATTCACCGCTAGTAGATATTATTCTCTTTGGGCTTTTCCTTTCAAGCTTGCCCTCGAGGCTTTGAAACGCGTCTACTAGGGGAAGGTTTCCACACCCTTATAAATAGTGGTTTGTTCTCTTCCCCAACTAATGTGAGACATCACAAGATAGCTGAGATATAAAGAAATGTCGGGATTATTAGGTGCAGAATTCATAAATTTCACGAGATGTAGATGGAAAAGACTTCTTTGTCCCTACCCTCCCGGAAAGGAGGTTAAAACGGGATAACACGTATAAAGTAAAAGAATATAAATTGGTAAACTTAAGAAGGAAACAAACAAATGTTGGGTTCCAGCAAATATGAGAACATAAATTCTTCAAAAAATGCTGAAATTATGGGCACAATTTTTCAGCCATCCACCATTGCCCATTAAATAAGAATTTAACACCTTTTTCTTTTTTTTTTTCTTTTTAATTAAAAAAAAACAAAATTATTAATTAATTAATTAATTAAAATTAAAGATAGAGATGCCTTAGAAAAAGGCTCACCTTTTACAAAGTGTATGTTGGAGTTTTTGGCTGATGAGACAGCATTTTCCTGTGCCAAGTGGACGGTGATTATGAACTCAGCCGCTTCGGATGGTTCAATTACAACCGTCCATTTCCCTGATTTGAATATCGCATCAATTTCTTTTTTTTTTCTTTTAATTTTCTCTTGATTCTCATCTTTCTCTTTTTTTATTTTTCTTTGTGCATTTTAAAGCGAATTTTTCCTCTTTAATTAATTAATGGATTTCAACAATTTTCTCTTACCGCATCAATACCACTTTTGTAATTTATTATAAACCTTATTCTAAAATTTCCATAAAATTAACAAAATATCATTAATATGTAAATATAATATTAAATTTATATTTCTATTAATTATAATTATTATAGTAATTAGGCTTATTTATATTTTAAATTTTGTTTCCTTAATTAGGTTGTAATTTATAATATTTAATATAAATTAGGGTAGCTTTTAGGAGTTTATATGCTTAATTCCAACTTAATTAAGATATGTTGGTTCATTTTATTTATTTATTTATTATTACCAATACCTTTAATTTTTATTTTATATGTGAATTTTAAAAAATATATTATATTTAAAAAAAAAACAAAAGGTTTAAAAGAGAAAATTAAAAATAAAATGGTTATTAAGGGAGCCTTAATTTATTAAATTTACAAGATAAAAAATGAAGGCACTTTAATTTTAATATAATATAAAATAAAAATAAAAAGACACGTGGCGAAAGATGAAAACAACATAGTTGTCCACAAAAGCCGTCACTCGTCAAATCCATTTGTTTAAGACATCCTTTTATACAACACGTGGTCGGTAGTCTCCACCATATATTTTGTTTTTAATTTAATTATTTACGCTTTATTTTCTTTTAATTTTATTTAATCTTTTTCATTTCTTATAATTAAACCAAGACTCCACAATTATATATATATATATATATATATATATATATATATTTATTTATTTATTTATTATTATTATTATTATTATTTTTGACCCTTACCAATAGTTATATAGTGTGAGCCGTGGTTGTTAGTCTCTAGTTTTCTTTTAAAATCTCTCTCTACCTTCGTTTTCTAAAATCTTCTTCTCAAATCGAAGCTAGAGGCTCGAGCATACGTTGCTTAGCCGTAGGCGACGTAATAACGAATTGACTTAGCTCACTTGTTGTTGGAAAGTGAGTGCTACACAATTGCAAGTTTGCTGCCATCAAGAGCGCGATTGAGGTAAAGCAGCTAAGATTACTTCATTCCCTTATTTCTGTACGACTGTTTGCTCCTGAACCAAAGACTCTATTCTCTGAGCTGATTGAACGAGGCAAAACAATTGAGGATTGAATTGACTCTCTTGTAAACTCATGAACATTCGTTCACTCGGTCTCACAAGCATTAGGTTCCCTCAGACACTTTTCATAAACACTTTGATTTTTTTAAGCCCCTGTTTGTTGCTCGGTGAGCTCGATGCACTCCTAACTACTCTCGTAACATAAATTTTCATAATTCTCAAAAGACCTCGTACGGATGAAGATAGTAGTTCGGGTAAACTTTCAAGAGGACGGTGGAGAGCCATGAATTTAGTTAGCTTCCTCTCTTCCTCTTCCTCTTCCTCTTCCTCTTCCTCCGCCACCTCACCGCCGTCTTCAATCTTCTTTCCCCCTCCCGCTTTATAAACTCTTCTCCACACTCTCCTTCTTCTTCGTGTTATCCAAGGTTACACCTCTCTATCTCTCCCTCTCTCCGATCATGATGCCACCCGAACAAGATACAACCGCCGCCGCCCCCACCACTCCAACCTCCCATCCCCACCCCGACGTCCTCGTCCACGCCGTCCCCTCCACCACCGACACATTCTCCATTCTCCGTCATTCCCTCTTCCCTCTTACCCTCAAGGTAGCTTATGGTAGCAGTACCCACCTAACCCATATTCATTTTTTGTTTGTTCTAACGAAATCCCTTTTCTGTGTGTTCTTTTTGGGCAGTTTGAAGACATCTCCTACACCATCAAAACCCATTCCACTAAAACCAACGGCTGTTTATGGAGGAATCATTCCCAACCCAACACTACACGCACCATATTGAATGGTGTTAGCGGCGTGGTTCGCCCTGGGGAGCTTCTCGCAATGCTGGGCACATCCGGCAGCGGCAAAACCACTCTTCTAACTGCCCTTGCTGCCCGCTTGCCTGGCAAAATCTCCGGCGCCGTTACCTATAACGACAAACCCTTCTCCAGCTCCATTAAGCGCAAAATTGGCTTTGTTTCCCAAGACGATGTTCTCTACCCTCATCTCACTGTCCTTGAGACTCTTACCTACGCCGCCATGCTCAGGCTGCCCAAGGAGTTGTCACAGGACGACAAGGTTGCGCAGGCGGAGATCATCATTGCGGAGCTCGGTCTCACTCGCTGCCGGAATAGTATAATCGGTGGGGGGCTTCTCCGGGGGATCTCTGGCGGGGAGAGGAAACGGGTTAGTATTGGTCACGAGATGATTGTGAACCCCAGCTTGCTTTTCTTGGATGAGCCTACTTCTGGGTTGGACTCCACCACGGCCCAGCGGATTGTTGCTACCTTGAGGGGACTGGCTCGTGGCGGTCGGACTCTGGTTATGACCATTCATCAGCCTTCGAGTCGGTTGTATAGGATGTTTGATAAGGTGCTGGTGTTGTCCGATGGCTGCCCTATTTACAGCGGCGACGCCGGTCGAGTCATGGGTTATTTTGAGTCCATTGGATATGTTCCTCCCTTCAATCTCATGAACCCAGCTGATTTTCTCCTCGATCTTGCCAATGGTATGAACATTTGAGCTCTGCTTTCCGGAATTATTTCACTCTGTTTTGACAATATTATTCGTCCAGGCATAGCGCCAGATTCAGCTCGCGAAGATGAAGTGGACCATTTCCATGGCGGATTAGACCCTCAAGACGATCAAAATTCCATCAAACACTCTTTAATTGCTTCATTCAGAAAGAACATTTACCCTGAAATCAAAGCAGAGATTCTTGCCAAAACGAAGATCTCCACGGTTGATTCAAGAACGGATTCCCCACGTAAGTGTCTAGTGTTTCCATTGATTTTGTGATTTGGGTATTGAAAATTGAAGTGGATGAACATGGAAACTTGCAGGAGGAAGAGAAAATCAATGGACGACGAGCTGGTGGGAGCAGTTTAGGATATTACTGAAAAGGGGATTAAGAGAAAGGCGACACGAATCGTATTCTGGGCTGAGGATTTTCCAAGTTATGTCGGTTTCGTTTCTTTCAGGGCTTTTATGGTGGCATTCGGATCCTTCGCATATACAGGATCAAGTATTATACCAACCCAATGAACAGAGTTTAATTCTCTTACCGCATTCATTAGCTAATGAACTTGAAAATATGCTATCTGCTGCAGGTTGGTTTAATCTTCTTCTTCTCAATCTTCTGGGGGTTCTTCCCACTGTTCAGCGCCATCTTCGCATTCCCACAGGAGCGGCCAATGCTGAACAAAGAGCGCTCCTCTGGGATGTACCGTCTGTCCTCATATTACATGGCTAGAACAGCAGGGGATTTGCCAATGGAGCTGGTTCTTCCCACCATTTTCGTGACAGTGACATACTGGATGGGGGGTTTGAAGCCGTCACTGCTCCCATTTCTGCTGACCCTTTTGAGTGTTCTGCTAAACGTGCTGGTGTCGCAGGGTCTAGGCCTGGCCCTAGGCGCGATTCTGATGGAGGTGAAGCAGGCTACCACGCTGGCGTCCGTGACCATGCTGGTGTTTCTTCTGGCGGGTGGGTATTACATTCAGCACATTCCTCCATTTATCTCGTGGCTTAAGTATGTATCCTTTAGCCATTACTGCTACAGGGTTCTGGTGGGGATTCAGTATAATGTGAATGAGGTGTATCCCTGTGGGTTTGGGGTGCAGCGTTACTGCAAGGTGGGGGACTTTCCTGCTGTTAAGTGCTTGGGGATTGGGCATCCGTGGGGGGATGTGGCTGCTTTGGTGCTCATGTTGGTTGGGTATAGGGTTTTGGCGTTTCTTGCTTTGAAGATGGGACAGCCTCACTGATGTTCGGTGCTCAGATTTTTTCTACCTTTTTGGGGAAGAACAGAGTTGGTTCATTGTGTTCTTGTAGCCGGATTAGTGCAAATTGTATGTTACATACTACATTTAATCTCGATCTTCTCGTGAACTCGAAAGAAAATGATTAGAAAATTTGAACGAATCGAACCGAACTGATCTAAGCTGACTGGTTTGATTCGATACTATGTGTTTTTGGTTACGCCGTTGTGATTTGCGGATGGCTAACAATGTTATACGACATGGAAATAAGGTGGTCGGTTCTTATTGATGCCATTGTGATTGTATTCATTAACCGTGAATCGAAAAATTCTAGACATGATACTTCATATATAATAAAGCTATATGCGTTAACCGGGTACATGTTAAATTTAGCATGTTCGAGTTTTTGGCTTCATTAAGTTGAAGTGATTCACGAAGAAAACGCTATAATTAATCTTTAAAAGATTGTCACATTAGGTAAGTGGGGCAACCTACAATTGTTAATATAGCTCACCTGTGATAGGAGAGCAAGCATCGTCGAGGTGAGCGGGTCTATATTTCTTGATTTTAATATGACGGACGAATCCAAGAAATAATCCCTTCTCGTGTAAAATTACAAAAATTCTCTCCTTTGAGATTAAACAATTTGGATGTAACGGCCTAAGCCCACCGCTAAGATATTGTCCACTTTGAGCTTTACCTTTCGAATTTCCCCTCAAAGTTTTAAAACGTTCGATGAATTTAACACATATGTTGGGTTAAAATACGAAACTTATGCACTTTCGTTTTCAGGCCATTTTGGAGTCAAATTTCATAGGTGTTAACATTGGAACTTTTTTCCCTTTGAGATAGAGTCGTTAACTCAATATGAAAAGTTGTTTTATGGTTTTAGTATCATACCATATTCACTAAAAATTGTCTTAACCTTAAAATGTGGAAGAAAAAAAAAACATTTACTCGTGTCTATAAGACCTCACAACCTCAACCCTGTCAAGAAGACCCTCGTAGAAGAACTTAAATCATTATGTGAAAAACCTAAGTTTCTTTCGATCTTTTTCAACGAAACTGTAAGGAACGCTCAAGTTTGATGAATTTGACACATATGTTGGGCTAAAATACGAAATTTAAGCACTTTCGTTTCTGGGCCAATCTGCTAGGAATAGGTTTCCATACCCTTATAAAGAATGCATCGTTCCTCTCTTCAACCGATGTACAATCTTACAATCTACCTCCTTCGAGACCCACTATCCTCGCTAGCTCACCTGCAACAGTGGGTCGTGTCCTTCCTCATGCATGGTGTCTTTGTCTTCATCTTCTCCTTCCCAAACTTCTAGTTTATCTATGATCGCACGTAGGGTTGCGAATGCCATCGTCACATCTTCATCGTTCATGCTCGTAGTTTGTTGTTCGATGACGTATTCTCATTTTTATGTTTGTGATACCTCCCACGCTATGCTTCCCCAAACAGTAACCTTTTATAAATATATATCATTGTTATTTAAAAGTATTGTAATTTAAATAAAAGGTTAAGAATGATTAAGATATTGATCATCTATTTTAATCATCATTAATTCCTTTCTTCATGCTCCAATTTGAATACATTGTTTGACCAATTTCAAAAACTAAATAAATTAATCAATAATAAAAATCAAATCAACTTAAAATAATATAATTTGATGTATTAAACTGCTATATTTTTTTCCAACGTTGAATAACTGAATAATTGTGAATTAAATATTCATTTTATAAATTGTATTTAATAAATAATAACTTTACATTAAAAATATTGGATTACTGCTGCCGCTGACGCCGAGTCGGCTCTTATGCCGTTAGCTATACCCTGCTTGATCCCCCGACATGGTAGAGGTTCCGTAGCGCGTCATGAGCACTGAGCTAAGGGGCGGTTGAGCTACTCAAGCGAACCGCCCTTAGTTGTCCTTCATTTTGAGTCATCATTCCGCTTTCTTTCTTATTACATTTCTAATGCGGGTGTTCGTTCAACTATTTCACATCCAAAACGACTCAAGTATGTTTATAAAAATAGAAAAGTAAAATTTTAATGATATTTTATGTTCAACTATTTGAATAAAAAAAAATTATTTCTGATAATTTCCTTGAAATTTTCTTTTTTGAAAAGGGATACCATTGATAATTCCAAGCAGGGCATAGCTGTATTTTCCAAATATTCAAATTAAATTACTATCTTAACCTCGTCCGATTTTAATTTCCCTTTCCAACAAATATCCAAACAAAAAAAAAAGTAAATTAATTCTTAATTTAAAATCGATTCTTTTTTCTTTTTAATTATGTCAATTTAAATAATTATTTGTATTAATTATATAATTTCTTGTTAATAATAACTAATACTTACCAATAAGGAAAATATAAATTAATTAAATATTAAAAATAAAATATTTATCTCAAATTATAAAAGAAAAAATATTAATTAATTACGAATATGTATATTCTCTAGATATTATATCTTAACATTTATTTATAATTATCATTAGTTACCACTTTAAATATTGAATCTATGACACCAGCCAGCAATTATTGCAGAGGAAAATAAATATTAGGGAAATAATTTGTTGGAATTTTTGGAATTTAAAAATCCGAGGAAAAAGACTTATTTTTTAGAAAATAGGAAAATAATAGTTATATGGAGATATGATTGGCCCGTAGACTTTTGACTTTTCTGTTATATGGAGATAAAAAGACGAACGTGCCACTTACCATAGCTTCCAAATTTGGACTTGGTCCAGATGTTATAAGTAATTTCACCTGATGATACGATAATATCCTATAATTTATTCACTGTCGCGCACGCGCTGCGGTGCTCCGTACTTTCACCGCTACCTTCTTTTTTTTGTTTTTTAGTTATTTAATTACAATTTTATTTTTAGAACTCAAATATATTCCTGAATTTTAGATATAAATTAAACTATATATTATATAAACTTTAAAGCTAAAAATTGAATTTAACGTATTATTTAAAAAAAATTCAACGGAGAATATTATGTGCCTAATTTCAAGCTAAATATTGATTTTTTACTTAAATCCTACGTTTATTTTCCTTCACTTTAATACTTTTATATTTGGTTCTTTCAAAGTAAATTTTTTTATTTTTTTTCTTTTAAATTTTGTACTAGAAATTAATATATTTTAATATATTGTACCACCGATCGCACTTTTGATGGCAGCGGACTTGCGATTGTGCGGCATTCATCCCGCAACAAGTGAGCTAAGCCAATTCGTTCTCATGTTGCCTACGGCCAAACACGAGCAAGCGACGTATGCTTGAATTTTTGGCCTTGGTTTAAGAAGAATGTTTTAGAAAGGGAGGGCAGAGAGAGATTTTCGAAAGAGAGATTTTGAAAGAGGTGTTATATTATATGCAAGCAAGAGAGTAACACCAACAACTTATAGTATATAACTATTGGTGGGAAGAAGTTGACAACTATCCCCTACAGTACACTTTGGGGCATTTTAGCCCTCGCAGGTGTAGACACGATTTTGGTGAACGATCATACACCCTTATACTGACTCAATATGGAATGGTAAATACCTATCTAAGATGGAAGTATGTAAAAGGGGTTTGGAACGGGCATGCAACCATGGACCTAGACAAGTAAGACCGGGATATCTGTCAATTTTAATGTCAAATATATTTTTAAAATTTCAATTATGTGTACAACAAATTTACCTTATTATGGAAAGTTTGAGATATTTAGTGTAAAACTATTTTAATTATTATTTTTTAAATATTAAGAATATTTTTAAAAAATTCAAAATGGTAGGTTTATTAATGAAAATTTTATAATATTTTAAAATAAATTATTAACGATTTTAGTTTTGAATAGTAAGAATATTTATATTAATTTATGAAATTTTTTAAAATTAGAAGATGGTTTAGATGGTTAAAGGAGGATCATAAATTTATAATGGGAAGCCCAACGTGTTTTGAAGAAACATCACGAGCGAAAAGTGTTTTTCCCGCGAAAGCAAAATTAGCATTGATTAACAGAAGTTTTGAAGAAGGTTCGTTATCCTTCTAGATTTTCGCTTCAGCTCACTCCATTCTTTGATTCGTTGGGTCTGTTTAGACGAACAGATTGTTTTAATAAGTTGCTGCAAATTTCTGCTGCAATTTAATATTACTAAATTCAAATTCTAGGTCTCTTCCTCCGTTAATGCCTTCCGGAAAACGACGGACATTGACATTGTCGCACCGGGGAGTAGACCTCACGCGTACGGATTAATTTAAGCCCTCTTGGGAAGTCAAAAATCGAAGAGATGGAATCAAAGTCTTCGTTCAACCATTCAAGGTATCTCTTGCCCTTCATTTTAATTATATATACCTGTATTGCTTGATTGGAGCATTTATTAATTTATTAGTTTGGTTCACCTATTTATTTCCCTCACTTGATTACTTCTTTTCAATCCGAGGGTGCAAAAGAGAGTTTGATTTTTCCCCTTTGGTGGCTTCTGCTTATACTTTGCCGCTTCTTCCCTGTTTTTTCCTTTCAACTCTTGTTCACCTTCTCTCGTCAATTTTCCTGCATTTCTTGGCTTTTGTGCAGATTTTTGTGCGGAATTTTAGTGGGTTTTGTTTTGTTTTTCTGTTTAGATCTTTCTTCAATTGATTGGCTTCAGCTTTTGTGTTGTAACTGTTTCTCTGGGTTTGACTCTGTGCATTGCCACTTTGCTTTTCCTGTTTTCGGGGATTTGAAATTTCACTTTTGGGGATATATTTGTTTTTCCTGCTATTGGGGTGTTGCTGCTGAACATAAAGAAGCTTCCATTTATCATTGCAAACTTCTTTTTTCCTAGGAGGAACTTATATGTTTCAAGTTGGTTTAGTTTGAACACTCGGGGAATTTCACTTGGTGGTGGTGGTGGTGGTGCCCTGTATTGGCGTTTGACTAGATTTTGTGTTGGTTCTCGGGAAAATGAGGACTGGAAACCGGAAGAGGAAGCTGCGGCTGAGCAAGATCTACTCATTTGCTTGTGGAAAATCATCATTGAAAGATGAAGATCATTCACAAATTGGGATGCCCGGGTTCTCCCGGGTGGTTTTCTGTAATGATCCGGATTGTTTGGAGGCTGGAATGCGTAATTATGTTAACAACTCCATCAGCTCTACAAAGTATACACCCATCACTTTTTTGCCCAAGTCCCTGTTTGAGCAGTTCAGGAGGGTGGCTAATTTTTACTTCTTGATTGCTGGAATATTAGCCTTCACCCCTCTTGCTCCTTATACTGCTGTCAGTGCAATTATCCCTCTTATTGCAGTCATTATTGCGACAATGGTTAAAGAAGGTATTGAAGATTGGCGACGAAAGGCACAGGTAACCCTTGTTCTCTATTTTATGATATATG